TCACTCGGATCTCCGCAGACACCAGGTCACTAGAGCTTCTGCTGTCATTGGGGCCACTGCGGTCACCAGAGCCTCTGCTGTCACTGGGGCCTCGGCTGTCACTGGGGCTGCTCGAAGCTGGTAGAGGTGGGTGGGTTGGCTTCACTGGCGTTTGACGGACTGCGCTCACCGTACTAGCTGAGATTTCAGGGTGAGGGGCTGTTGTCGCGCTCTGCACTCTCAATCAGCTGCTCGGATTGGTCCGACCAATCTGCGATGGGAATCTTGCACCAGTAAGGTCAGCAACGACACACCGTTACGAATCTTTGCCAATTGATGGCTAACATCTTGAATTTGCTCATGAACTGTCCTTCGTGAAACGTGGCCTCCGTAGTTCCCACATCGGTTGAGTTCACACTGGCAACTTCAGTTGCAGTTAACGAAGCATTTTGTACTCTTCTTGGGCTCATAACCAGTGAAGCGATAGACTTCACTTCAACTCTGCGGCTGTGACTTCGCAGAGTAACAATCACAGAGTGAAAGAGGAATTAAGCGTAGAAAATAGCAAGTGCTGGGGCAGAATGCCACGACAGGTGCTGCAATGATCTGAGGCCGCTGGTGAGACTTGCTCTTGAAGAAGCAAGTTCTTGAGCGAGCGCAAACCTCGTTGCCTTTGACCATCGCAGCGCCGCAAGCCGATGTATTAGTTGTAACTAATACATCTTCAGGTGCTACATGTAGCTATACTAATACTAAATACTGTGTGTGTACTTGTTCTAGATGTAGCGCTACATTATTGGTTTACCGATCCCAGACTCCGCTCAAAACGTTCCAGTGGAGGACAACCAAAGAACTTCACATGGAAGAAGTAAAGTCGTGAAGCCTGCTGTCATCCAGTGCGGTGTTTGTAAACATTTATTTTTCAACATTTGCTACGACGTGGTCTACTCCGCTTTCGCCCAAGTCAGTGACCGTTGTGACAATCGCAAAAAATCACTGAATTCGTAAGTCGTGGTTGTGAGTATTGTCATTAATGTGGTAAATACCCGAGAGACCAATACTGTCAGTTTGAGAGGCAATATCGAGATTGACGCTATTCGGAGCACAATATTACATCAGCAAAATGATTATCAAATGGCACTGTGCAAGAGTGATGAAGACCGATCGATTGGCCTATTGGTTTAATGTGACTCTTTCATCAATATTAGATGCACAAACGACTCGATCATCCATGGACTATATGGTTTCATCATTGACGGTACAGTTGAACAAACACTTATGCAATCATACGAATAGTTGTTTTAAGCAGTCGAAGACAACATCTCATGATTCCTATTGCCTTTATCGATTTTCTAGAGTTCGAGTGGAACATACTTCTTTCGAATTGTCTGGGGTGGAATTGACGCGAAAGCTGTGTCATGAATATATGTATGGATTTAATTATGAGACTATGGCAACGTTTCGGTGCAATCATGACATTTAGATTATGCTGGGAGGTAGTGATATAACCGATATAATTTACTATTGCTGCAAGTATGTCACTAAGTAACAGAAATAACTCAAATCCCTGGTGACAGTAGCCGTTGCTGCACCCAAGCGTCGTCCAGTCCGTGAACAAATTGAACAAGCACCTATAGGTGCTAAAGCCAGCAATACTTTGGCTCGAAAACGTGTTTCCGCGCTCATGTAGAATTTGACAAACCACCAAACAATTGCATCCCAACTTGCAGTATTATACTTGTATCTAGGAAGTTGTTATTTTGTAAGTGCTGCTTGTGTATCACTTCCTTTAGGTGATGCGATACGTCAACATACACTCTCTGTGAAATATTCCTGTGTTTTTCGTTGATGATGATAGCGATCACGCATCGGCAAAGTATCATGCAGTGTCCTCTCTCGATGACTACATTTGTCGTCCGAGAACATTAGAATCTGTGAACCTTTTACGAATTCACTATGTGGTACTTTCGGAAATAGAAGGACAGCTGACAAGTTCAAAACTATGTTTACTTGATAATCATCCACTCTACAAAACATACTGTTTGGGTAAAAGACACATGGAAGTTTTACCGATTATTCAAGGCTTCCAAACGCCTTCGAACCAAAATAATTCCAGCGCTGAGGTCGCATGCAAATGTGCTGTTCCTTCAGCCGCGGTTCACCAAAGCTGTGTCCTTCGGTGTAGCAGAATTCGTGGACGTGAACCGCTTCGTGGTGGTCGGTTTCTCGGTCGTCGACATCTTCGTGGTCGACATCTTCGTTGTCGACATCTTCAAGATCGACAGCTTCGATGTCGATAGCTTACTGGTCGTAGAAAGCCGACTAGGCTTCGTGTAGGGACGCAGCAACAAAGCTTGAGTCATGAAGGAATCTACAATTAAAAATCAACAAAAGGTAACCAGAACGTTAGACAAAGATATATCACCCTGTTGAACAGCGCACCTACTGTAACGGGCTAATGCGAGCAAATATGACTCTGATTGATTAACGAGACGGTCTCGTGCGTGGAGACCATCCCAGCCATTAAACCTATAGTGTGTGGTGATTGGCCACTGTGTTGGTGCACAGTGGCGACCGTGCGATAGTAGCCTGTCACACCACCCCTCACTCAGATGAGAAACACTCTAGAGAAACTAGGCTTGGGACATCGTCATTCCCGAAACGACGACGAAGTGAAGAAGAAAAAGCAAGGCTGGACATGGATGACAACAACACGGACCTGGCAGCGGATGACCGCCTTTCGTACGACGAGACGTTGGCAAGGTGGTCGCCACACGATTGCAGTGGCTTTGTTGAGCCCCGACGGAACGCGGAGATGGGGGAGTTGTTTGAACGATGGCGCGCGACTCGCAGCAAACCTGTCACGGAGACTCGGACCGTGACGATGAACTCGCTGGACCAAGCTTTGACGGCGTTTGTTGAGCGCTAGAACACAGAGACCGGCGCTAAGGTAGTGTTTACGCTGGAGCAGCGAGAGCGGCAACACGGGCGCTTCTCGGTTAGCGCGCTCGCGTATCATGTTTGTGAGCTGTCATGGCAAGCTGACCGCACTTGTTGTTTCGTTCACTGCGAGGTTGGATGTCGACGTTGTCGCGAGGCGCGTCTCTCGTGACCGAGTGCGGAAGAGTGGCGAAACATCGTCACAGAGGCTCCGTTCTCTGACACCGAGGAATCCGCAATCGTTGTGTACCAAGCCGCGCTTCATGAAGCTAGGCGCGGTGTCCCGTCACGTCGTCTCGGAGACGCTCCTCGTCCAGGGCGACGCAGTCCGGCACGTCAGCCAGTAGGACCGAACGCGGTTCCCAACTATCCTGCATTGGACGAAGGCAACGCTTCAGATATTGCCGGTGATCTGGAATTTGGTCGTCGCGGGGAGGAACGACGCGACGCCTTCGCCCCACCCGTGGAGCAGCACGTTCGTCATCGTGCTGCACGATCTCCTCCACGATATGCCGAACCTGTCCGGCGCGATCAACCAGAGGCGCGGAAGCATCACGTCGGTATGGAGCGCAATCGGTTTGGGGACGCTGTCTCGCACAACGTCTGGATCATCTTGCGCATCGCATGGATGTGTTGGAGGAGGAGCACTTGGATCCGCGGCACCGGCAGCGACAGGACGAGTCGACGCGCCGCGCGCCTCCGGAGGATCGTCAGCGTCGCTGGTGATGGTAGCTGGGTGGTATCAGCGGAAACGTCCGACGTAGAACGTCGGATGCAAGCGTAGTGCAGTTGGTAGTCGTACGTATAAGCATCTCCTAATACTATTGCAACTTGAAATGGTCCGATTAATCGTGGCGCGAACTTTTTCGCGCCCAAGTTCTTTACTGCTGTAGGTTGAATTCCAGCCGTGGACAGCAAGACTCTTCGACCCCGCCGATCGGCATATTCGTTTTGATCGTCGGCCGCTGCTGCGATCGCGTCGCGCACGTCCCGGACGACGGACTCACGTTCTTGCACAAATTTGTTGACATCCACAGCGTCCCTAGGCTGTGGCACCGGAACGGGGTTGAAGTTCGCTTGTGTTGCAACGGGTGTCGGTCGCGTCCGACGCATTTTGGTACTCGATTCCACGTCGACGCTGACGTGGGTTTATCAGCGTCCGGAATGTTCTGGCTGCTATTCTTGAAGTAGGCGTCGCTCTCGTAGCGACGCGATCACGTGTGGTGCCGCCGGCTACCTCGTCAAGCGCCACCCGCGCGGCGTCACGTGTGCGCACTCCTTGCGCGGCAGCTCGCGCAGCCTGACGCGTGGTTACACCATTCACCGCATCGTGAGCACTCTCACGACTTTCGTCGCTCGCGGACACTAAACTGCGAGGTATTTTCCCAGTCGTAGTTGGTCGCAATGTCTAAGACGCGTACCCGTCCGCATCAGCAGCATCACCGGGGTCACGTAGCACAGGCTCGTCTGCGCGTTCAACTTCGGATGAGCCTCGTGGCGCGAACCCGTCCGCGTCTTCGGCATCAACTTCGTTGGTTGTATCGGAGCGCTCCACACCGAGGAGCGCTAGAACGCGCGGGTGTCGACCATAGTTCACGTAGAATGGGATAAGGCCAGTCAATCGCGAACTCGACCATCGGCAAAAAACGAGCTCCAAGAATTGAACGACGTGGCACAACTCCTCAGCACGTCCTCGACGACTCTGTTCGCACGCTCGTTTTGGCCATCCGTCTCCGGGTGCGACGCGGTTGATATTTCCAACCATGTCCCGAGCAGCTTGAAGAGCTCCATCCAGAAGACGGCTGTAAAGCGCGGGTCTCCATTGGACACGATCGAGATCGGTAAGCCATGGTGTCGGTACACGATGTCCACGAAGATCACCGCTGACAGTTCCGCGGTGATATTGACGGAGACAGGAGTAAGATGTACCATCGTACTGAAGCGATCTACGAAGACGAGAGCTCCTGTGCGGCCTTCAGTATCTCGAGGAAGCCCGAAAACGAAGTCCATGCTCACCGAGGACCATGGATGTGGGAAGACGGGAAGTGGCCGAAGCGGAGCTTACTTCGACGGATTCGGTTTCACACGTTGGCACGCTTCATACGAGCGCACCCACTTCCGGACCCACTTGTACATGTGGGGATAATAGAAATCTCGGGCCACGACGCGGAGGTTTTCTCGCATCCGAGAAGCCCACCGCTCGGGGTATCATGAAACTCTTGAATCAGGCGCGCGCGAAGCTCGTCGTCCAGCGGGACGACCACGCGTGGTGAATCCGCGCGATCGATGCAGTAGGTCAACAGACTGCCGTCCAGGGTGTAGCGGTCGATGCGAGCGCGACTGCATGAGGTCAACCGGCGACGCGCCGTGTCTGAAGGGTCTTTGAGGTACTTGATCATCTCAGAGAATGACGCATCTGCCTCGTACGAGGACGTAATCGAATCTCGAAGCGTACTTGTCGCTGTGACCTCCACAGCAGCGGCACCTTCTGCGATGCACACAGCGCATTCATCGTCATCCTCGTCACCAATTACATGGCGGCCCGACTGCACGTAGTTTGGTCGACGCGACAGCGCGCCATGCGCTGGGACAGATGTGGGCATTCGTCGCTGTCCGCAGCGACGCGTGATCTGTGAACAGCAAACGTCTGTTCACGCGGAACTTGATGAGCGCGTAACGCATGGCCAGCAGCTCGTTGTCGTGAACGGGGTAGTTGCGTTCCGCTGGCTTCAGTTGACGCGGCTGGTAATTCCCCACTCGTTCGCGTCCCTCGTCGTCAAACTGCATTAACGCACAGCCAATTGCAAATTCGCTCGCGTCGCACACGACGTGGAATGGCTTGTGGTCGGCCAGCATCAACATGGGCGCGGTAGATAAGCTCGTTTTCACCACGTGAAAAGCGGCTTGGTGTTCAGAACGCAATGACCACGTCGCATCTGCTTTCAGCAACTGCGACAATGGTCGCAGCGTTGCCGCAAAGTTCTTCGAGTAATGGTGGAGGTACATCCCAGGCCTATCCGCTGGCAAAGTTGCTTCTGGTCCTTTGGAGGAGCCCATGCACAAATGGCCTCAATCTTCTCCGGGTCGGCACAGACACCTTCCTTGCTGACATAGCTCGTGAGTACGGAAATCTCGGGAGCCCAGAAGATACATTTCTTCCAGTTGGTATAGAGGATATGATAGAACCCGTCCATCAGATCTATGGCACTGTACTTGGTGCTGCCGTCATGGTGTCGAGCACCATGTCCTTCCGTGGAATTGGCATTTGGGCTGGAATGGTGGCATCGTTCACCTTGTTGAAGGCATGAACGATTCGCATTCCGCAGGTGGCCTTCTCGAAGGTCGGACTGGAATGTGGAGAGAGACTTTCGCGTACGTGACCGGGTTGATGGCGACTCTCGAAGAAGGCATCAATTGCGTCTAGGAAGTGGTCACTACCGCGTCACACATTACTTCGTACCGGGCACGAGATCGATCTCGTGCTGGGCCCCACGATCAGGGGGAGGACGGCTGGGACCTTGTCCGGGAAGATGTCAATGTACTCCCGGACGAGAGGAGCGACGGGTTGCCGGATCCCTCAAGTGCCGGCAACGATTGAGCAGCCAAGGGCGCCCACGGGCGCACTTCGGCTCGGCCCCTTTCGGCAAAGTCCTGGTGTCGGACGCTGGGTCATCGGCTTCGTCTTCGACCGCTGCAGCACACACAGTATCTTCATGCACGAGCATGCACACTTGCTCGATGTCGCCCTTCCTCAGGTCGCTCGGTAAATGTTTCCATGGACGATCAGGCAGCTGCGTGATCTCGGCTGCGTCACATGGAGGGCATGCAACCTCGATGTCGCACATACGCGACGTGCTCGAGGATTCCACAAGAACTGAGAAGACTTCAGACTCAGTCTCCTGAAAGCACACGAGGTCGTCGGGGATTGCGGCGACCTCGGCGCCGAACAGGGCGTGGAGTGTCGTCCACGGCAGCAGACGATGAAAGGCCACGCTCGATCATGACTGTGGAACTTGGGCACCGGGACACTTCACCGGTGCGAACACGGGGGACTCATGACTCGAGTGCGTCCACTTCGACAGGTAGCCCCCGCTCGATCACTTCGCGGGAACACACGCTCGACCGCTTGTGGGAGACCACACTCAACCACTTCTTCCTTCTCTTCTTCAGAGAGTTTCCGCTCGACCACACGCGGGAACTCATGCTCAACCGCTAGTGGGAGATCACACTCAACCACATCATTTTCACCCGAGAGTCGCTGCTCATCGGAACGTGGGAACCACTGCTCAACCACGTTGGACACGTCCTGAAACCATTTCTCAAGACCGGCACAAACTGCGTGTTCGCACACTGCACACAAAGGGCCATCGCACTCTTCGTGAACAGCGGAGGTCATGAAGTCGGGTCCATGACTGCAACATGTGGCCACGTGTTAGGCATCCCGCTCAGGGACACCCTATTTACGTCAATGTCGTGCGGACGGACAGTCTTGATTAGCCAGTCAGTGTGGGGTTGGTGACGAGCGAGCCATGGGAGCCCGAAGATGCAATCGAACGAGCCGCCCAGCTCGAAAACCATGAAGTCGTCTGACCCGCGAAAGCCATCGAACTCGTACGAGAAGGTGGCCGAGCGTCGCGGCTGCTGCCGCGGCTTGCCGTCTACATACTTTACAACCATGTGACCTGGACCTTCACGTATAGACATGTCCGTCGGTAACACCGACAAACGTTCGGCGCGAACAAAGTTGCTTGTCGCGCCCGAAATCCAGCAGTGCGTGAATCAAACGCTTCGCGCCATCGACATGGAGACTGAGCACGATCAGTCTCGAGTCGCCACCGGAGGTGGTGTGCATGAAGCACGGGAGGACTAGGAGGAGGTTTTACCACCAGAGAACCATCTCTCCGTTCACGGCCAGTAGGGCGCCCCGCACCTACGGGTTGTCGCCTTATTTTGAAGCACCGGCGACGTCGTTCTCACTTGCGACGTTTGCCACCACAGGCGGTGGTACACAGCACACTGCCGCACGATGACCGGGTTTACGACAACGGAAGCATTTCATCGGACGCGACGTACGCGTCGAAGACGATCGTGTCGAAAAACGTCGACTGCCGACGTTCACCGCAGTGTTGGATCACTTCCATGGGTTCTGGTCCTGACTCAGAAGCTGGAAGCAGGGGACGAGAGACATCGAATGCTCGCGATGCCGACACACTGTAGTCTTCGCGGAGAGCGGCCGCGAATGCTTCTTCCAGGGTACTCGGAGCCTTCCTCGTCAAATAGAAACGCTGGTTGCCAGCGTTCATGCCGCTGATGAACACATGGACTTGCGTTGCCATGTCCATCGGGTGCGATGTGGTGCACGATATCAGGTGTCGCTCACGTTGGATGTACTCGAGCATGGACATGCTTCCCTGCTTCAGCGACAGAAAAGCTGAGCGCTGGATGCTTTCATCTTGGGGCGGCTCGAACGCGATTCGCAAGTCGGCCTTCATGGATTCAACGGTCGGGAAGCAGGATGCATCCGCAACGAGTTTGACGAGTGCCCATTCCTTTGCTTTCCCTCCCAACTTGGACATGAGGAACCGCGTACGTGCGAGCTCGGTGGAGATCTGCCGAGCTTCGACTGCGATATCTACTTCGCAGAACCACCGGTTCAAGTAGAGGCGACCCTCGCCTTCACCGCTGTACGTGGAGACATCGAGCGTCACGATGTCGGACTTGTTCTTGGGCTGCGTGAGAGTCGACACTCGCTGACGAAGGTTAGCGAGTTCACGCACCATGAACTCTTGTGCAGCTAGCCGCTGCTGTTCCTCCGTGCCAGTCATCTGCAATGCCTTGATGACGCTGTCACTCGACGCCGCTGCGAGGCGGTGTAGAGCTTCCCATTCGATCACCGACAGGCGAGGGAAGCTGGCATGTTCAAGTGAGATTCCGGACGTCGTGGACGCGTCGTTCATCTTGATCTTTGTCGTTGGACGAATTACAAGGTGCTACCAGGTGTAACGGGCTAATGCGAACCCGTTACCGACGTACACTCGCGTTTGGGAAGTAACTGGCAAATATGACTCTGATTGATTAACGAGACGGTCTCGTGCGTCGAGACCGTCACAGCCATTAAACCTATACTGGGTGGCGATTGGCCACTGTGTTGGTGCAAAGAGGCGACCGTGCGACAATAACCTGTCACACCTACTGCTGGCAGCTTTGACACGGAATTTGGCGTATGTAGGTGCCAAATGCCATATGAGTCCTCGGCGCTGCTGGTTAAGGCGCGAAACCAAAGTGCGCGCGAAGTTTGTGGATCCTTACAAGATTCAAATTCAAAATCTAGATTCCACATGAGAGTTTTGAAGGTTACATATACATTTTTGTATATTATTTTGATCAGGTTGCTGAATCGAAAATTCGAAGGGATGGGCAAAACCTCTCCAAACGCGATTAAACGGAATTGTTTGCTAAGATTACTTTCTTGATCTATCGAAGAATTCACCTTTATCGGATGTTTAATCGCAAGTTTGATGCATTTTAACTTCAGCTATAAAACTAATTATATTTGGGTTTTGGAAGGCGCCCAATGACCTAATGGGGACTAGATAGTAAAACTGTGAGAGCAGCTTCCACATGTTAGGAAATCTATCTATAGAGGGAATATATTTTAGAAGAATTACTGTGGTGTAGCCCCTATTTACGTGAAAGGAGAATGAATTTTTGAATTCATGGACATTAGTTCAAAACACATCATTCATAGAGAACCCGTTTTGTGGGAGGAATTAATACCATAATTCAGTGAAAAGCACTGAGATCTGCCAAAGAGATGGTGCAATCTGCTTATTTTTGGCTCCCTTCAGTGAAAACATCGTAATAATAAAACTGCAAAAATATTGCCGTGTTCGACTTGGTAGTGTCATTCCAGCTTTTTTCTCTATTAGCTCACCTTTTTCAGCTGTAAAACCTTCTTAGGCAAGACATGAAACAATGTAAGCCCAGCCCTTACTTTTGGTGCCTTTGTCTGTGTAGAGCAGAGTCGCTGCGCACTACGAGGTAGCACTGCAAGAGTAGCTTCTCATCGTCACGCCTCCAGGACGCTCGCTCTTTCTTGGATGAATGGCTAGTACAACCCTGTTCATTTCAAAATTCAGGGTGACTTCAACTTTGAAACCTGCCCTTGTAATCTAATCAAGCTGGAATTGATTTTGCCTGTTTCAGATGCAAAACGAGCTGTTTAGAAAATAATTAAATCCTTGTTAATTATTTAAGGTCGTCTTTGAAACATTTTACAACAAGTTGTGGTGACCCAAAAACAAACAACAGACAATCCAAATTTCTGATTCAGTAGATACACACCATATCTTCACTCCAGTTCATTGGAGCCTTTGTGGCAGCGCAAAATTGTCGAAATGAAACCATACGAGTACTTTTAAGTTTAAGCAGAGGTCAGAAAAAATTATTGCAATACAGTAAATTTTTGGGGTTTTCAATAAAAATATTTATTATTGAACATGGCGGTTCCCAGACTCAATTATTGACAATAAATGTGACGGCGCAAAACAAAATCGTAATTTCCATTATTATTACAGCAGATATATTACACTTTGAACCAGCAGTACTTTGTAATCGGAATTAAGCGAAGTTTCGAGAAAATGCGTTTAGAACATTTGGGGTGTTTTTGCTGGGGTATTTTTTACACCGTCGGCTGGCTGCCACTCGCTCATATCCCCCTAGCATGGAGAACAACGTTAGTTCTTCGGCCGCAGACTCGAAGGAGGCCTCGTCATCGGCTTCATGCGAAAGTGGAGAGGTTGAAGACAGAAATATGGAGATGGACGCTGCGGTTGTGAACCACATTGGCACGGTACTGGGAG